TAAGGTCAATAACATAGGAGCAATTCGGAATAGCGAGCTGCTGTGGAAGTACAACATTACGAAATGCATTAAGTTAGCCCCAACGACACTTTTTACTTACAAAAAAGATAAATGAAATACTCGCATCACGGGGATTCTCTCCCAGGGTAGTACAATGAAAATGTTCGGAGTCGTATACTTTATGGTGGCTTAGTATGGTGGCCTACACATGATATCAATAGCACCTCATAAACCAGCTATTAAGGCAGGAATTTCTAAAAAGTGGGACTCTGCTCTTGGACGCCCCGAATTCGATGAAGCATCTACCTCCGATTGATCTTATTGCTCGATATTTCGGCGAAAATACTTCATCGAGGGAACCACAGGCGCTGTTCGGCTATGCTAAGCACATCGGCAATAATCTCTATTACATATGAGTACCTATCAGCACTAAATTGTGATATTAACACCACAGGACTGCGAGAGCTATATGAGCAATTTTATAAACTTTACACAGATGATGCAAAATTTGAAGGGAGTGCCAGAGGAGGAGCAGTTTTTTCAGCTGTACACGGGTTGGGGATATGTTTCGTCCCCCCTTTCCACTGCAGTGTATGTCGAACTAAAGTGTTGGCCATTCAGGAAGCAGCTGGGCCCTTGCTCAAAGACATACATCGGGAAACAAGTCTTCATCTACTCTATCAGTCCAGCAGCCGCCAAAGCTTTACCTGCGCATAGACAATGCACAGATCATTACTTAATGCTGTCGCAGACTTCTAAGATGGTCCTGCATAATATGGTTCAACTTATATGGATGCCTAGAAACTGCGGTATTGAGAGCGATTCCAAAGCTGATTAATTAGTGAGAAAATGCTACAACCTTACAGAGAAGGATGTCAATCGGCATAGGCATATGAGTGGCCAGTTTTAAGCAGTTTGTAAAAGATCGTCCTCTGAATGTCTAATTTTTAAAAAAACGCCACGAGGTTAGGGGTGGACACACCGGACCATTTTCGTAGTTCTACGCACATGGAAAAAGAGATCTCGAAAACAATCCCCTACTCCTCTTTAAACCAGTTTTTGGAGTCAGTAAAACTGAGCAGCTGCGTATGCTGAACTTTTCCGCCTAAATCGTTTAGAAATTCTTTGCGCAAAAATTTTTCTCATTCGCACAGTCAGTGGCTGTCAGTCTCAGGACATTCGCACCGTAAGTGCCTGACAGTCTCCGGTTCTTCTTCGTTAAGGCAGCTCCTGCAGTAGCCATTATCAGCCATACCTAACAACTCTGCGTGCGTCCCTAAGAGTATGTGTCCGGCCAGTAATCACATGGCTAACGATAATTCATTCCCTTTTAATGATAGCAGCTCTCTTATGTCCCACTCTGGACACATCAGTTTACCTGCGTTCCGTGTACTTGAGTACTCCCACCTTGTATGGGCTTCTTTTAAGTAAAATTCCCTAATTATGAGCTTGCAGGAAGCCTTCCTTGTTTGCTTTCCCATTTCCAGCGAACTTCTCTGCCATCTCATTTGGGGATTTGCGCCATTATCCGAATTTATAATGACGGAATCATAAACTATATTTATTGCGGCCGCTATATGACTTAGACTGTTAGTAGCTTCTTGTATAGACGCTAGTTCGGTCTGAGAGACACTGAAATGGTCTCGAAGGCGGAAGGACCAGTCCAGCGCTATTTGTTCAGTGTATACTCCTCCACCTACCCTGCTATCTAGCTCGAATCCATCAGTGTAGAACTGAATAGAATTTTCGTACCCCGGGACTCCCTTTGACCGTGATTTTCTACTGGGTATCTCTGTGTGATATCCCTTACCCTCTGCTATAACTGGATCCGCGGGACACTAATAACAACACGTTTAGATGTAATAACAATAATTTTCTATCAATATACATAACTACATATACATACATATAAACTATACAAATAGATCTCTTCAAAGCTGTTCCAACAAATTGTAAGTACGTGCATACAAACCTACGTAAATGCAAAATCATCAAAAACTAGCTAATCACTTCTCAAAATTCACTACAATGCGATTTTCAGTTTATTGCGCGAAGGGATTGTGTGGATTAGCGCCAGGTATGTCGAGATTACCGCCCGTAGTCTGATAAGTGCCGTAGCTGTTGCCANACCTGCAGAAGAGAATAATATGATCCCCTCATCCCATATTTTTGTACTTTTTAAAGACGTTTACCTGACGCGGGTCCTCCGTAGGTGGCAATTCCGAAATGAAGCCTTGATCTTTGCGATAGAAGTTCACGAAAACGAAAACACCCAAGACCACAAGACAAGCCAAGCCATAGCCGCGGAATGTTTCCGTAGTGCCATAGTATGTGACGAACATGCCACCAATGATCGCACCACAGCCACGTCCTAGACCGTGATGTATACCCTGTAGTACGCCTTGGGCCGAGGCTCGCAAATGTTTGGGTGTACAGTGTGCAATGTACGAACAGGAGGCGGCCCAAACGGCGGCATGTGTGATACCCTGCATCAGCTCGAATGGCAAGACCATCCAAGGATTGGTCGCGTAGGAGATGTACAAGAAGCGTAACACATTACCAACCAAGCCCAGGCACAACACTTTGATGTGACCGATTTGTGTGATGAAGCGGAAACTGTAGAAATATGCAAAGATCTCGGAAACGTGGTTGATCACAGAGGCAACACCGAAGAGCGTGGGGGTGCCGCCATAATCTTGCAGATGCCAGAAGAGAAACGTGAAAATCAGACCGATGCCGAAGCCCATGAACCAAGCGACGAATAGGAAAGAAATGGTTTTCATATCCTTGAAATGTGTCAACACGGTCAGCCATTCGGGCATTTCCTTAGTAGTTTGAGCAAATATTTTCGACTGTGCACCCACTGCGGCCTGTGGTGCTTTGCCAACTGCAGTCGTACCACTACCAACCGCTAATGAAGGCAAATTAAGCTGCGCAGCTAACTCGGCCATAGACTCATCTTCGGCTTGCTTATTTGCCGTGGCATCCGGATTCTCGGCTGTCTGTTGGTCAAGTTCGATCGGATCATATTTAAATGTGATCTTTGAGGCCGACGCTATGGCACAAGTCATCAAAATCGAGAAAATGGCAAAGCAAATATTGTAGTTCTTTTCCATGTGACCTGCGCCGCAAGGATGATGTGAAAAGCGTGTCGAATGATCGAGTACAATGCCGACAACGAACATGGAAATGCCCCAACCGAGTGAGCCGAACATGCGTTGATGGCCATACTTGTCTGCATCGTCGCCGAGCAAAGTAATGACGGCTGAGTCGGCGAGTGTGATGGCTGGAGCGCTGAAGAACTCACCTATGAGTATGACGAGCAAAAGCAGGAAGAATGCTTTTTGGATGTCCTACGAAGAGGGAAGATAAGTAAAACAAAGTATTGTGGAAAATACTTTGCAATATAAATAAATACTCACTGGTGTGCGATATACCATGGACGAGAATATCGGGCTAACATAGTCACGATGCTGTTTATCATCGTAATTGCTGACAAAGTTTATATGGATGGGTGATATGCCGGCGTCAATACGAGGAATAAGCGAACGTTTGCGTCTTGAGGTAGAAAGAGATTGAATAATTGAATTATAGGCGGTTTAGCTAAGACTCTAGAACACTCAAAAGATACACAACCCCTAACACTGACCCAAAATTCGTCTACAAACAACTTCACCTACACACTCACCTCCTATGCGACTCCTCCACCACTTCGTTGGCCGGCATTGTGGCAACACCTTGCAAAGCTGCTAGTGAGTTGATGCTCTCCACGCTCTCCTTATTCATGTCGGCCATATCATAGGCGGAAAGATCACGTTTGGTGCGTGTCAGAGTCAAAACAAAATCCGTCTCATTTTTACGTTCGATACAATTCACAGCTTCTGGTTTAATGAAACTCAACGGTATGGTGAAGAGAACCCAACAGGCGAGCGAACCCAAAAGCAATTTTTTACCTTGGCGGCAGCTAAAAATTGTCATAGTAAGTGAGATTAAGTAACAGTTATGCAGCGTACAACAGCTATTTACCGATCTGCATAGGAACCCCAGAAGGGCGCCGATAAGAACTCCACA